TGGGATACTAAATCACCTGATCTACAACTATCAAAAGGTTTTTTAGGTACCAAAGCCCCTGAGAAAACTACACCATGCCTTGAAAGTATTCCAATATATGGCAGAAGAGAATGTTTACTGAAAATGGAGAGAAAGAACAAGAAAGCAGAAATGACTAAAACAGGACGAAAAAAGTCTCTAAGATGGAGAAGATGGATAAACAACATAGAAAGAAGAGAGGTTGGTGGTGGCAAAGACCAACCTTCACCATTTTGACTACATTGCTCTCCTGCTTCGTTTTAAACATACCAACATCGTATCTCAATAAGCAACAAAAATAAAAGTTATCATTGCTATCTTTCAAATAACCAGTAGAAAAAGAGCTAGAATCACTTCAAGATGGCTACATTTCTACCTGTTAAGAACATACCCTCTTACTGAAGTTTCTAAAGTCAGCGTCGGCGAAGTTAATGACAGTAGCCACAACTGCAGATCTCTTCCCAATACAACGTCATACAGTTGAATTCTGAGAACTCACTTTCTGATGGACTTTTTTCCAACACCCCACCTCATTCAACAGCCCTGAAGTACTGCATACCATGAAAATTTTCAAAAGGAAACCTCATCATAGTAGAATCCAGATCCCAGAAGGGAAAACTCTCACGCCCTACCACTTGTCATCAACTGCAGACCCAACAGGAAGAGATAGACCTTACAAGTCCATACCACTTTACTACTCCCACAGGAGGAAGAAAGGTGGTCTCCTTCCCCAGTAACAGCCCAGCCAATAACAGACTGTCACAACTGAGCCAATGAAAAGCCACTGTACTGGAAACTCCCAGTTTACTCCAATGGGCTTTTGTTTATAATAGCCCTGCTCAATTCCCCCCCACAACAAAAAAGAGAATTTCTCTCCTTGGTTTTTTGTTTTGCCTATGGTTTTGCGTTAACTTGCTTATCCTGAATTGCAATTTTCTACTATTCCCAAATAAACCCATTTTTGTGGTAAAATAACTAGCAGCTTAATTTTGAAGGTTAACAGTACATAAAACAATTCAGAGTTTTGTGGAAACAACCTTTAAATTTAAGTAAGTAAAGAGAAGATTAAAATGCACTGACAAGCAGCAATTTGTTGACAAGGCGATGAGTTGGTGTCTCTCATAACTCACAGAACTCAAGAGTGTATGTTTTGGGAGTATGCATCCTATGAATTAAACTCCCTACTTATGTTATCACAGTAAAATTAGAGGCAAATTCCTTTGAATTTGAGTGTTTCAGGCATTTGTCTGAAGTAACTCACTAATGAGTAGGATTTTAAAAATGTGTATAGTTGTCTCCAACCAAGAACAATCTTCTCACTCTTGAGCATTGGAAGGTGGCTCTAAATAGCAGGTTCATTTATTTCCATGCACCTGTGATTTTGTTCCTAAGTGGTGTGAATAGCCATTGAGTATCTGGTTCAAAATCAGGACTTCTCTTTTCCAAATTACTCAGCTCCCATTACATTTATAGGTGAGTCAAGAAGGCATTCTCTGATGTTTATGATACTGCTTTCTATATAATGTTTGAAGAGAAATGAGAGGTAATTATTTAGCTAGTGGGGTGGTAGAGAAGAAAGTGGACCTTCTCATTGTTTTAAATTAAAACAAAGGATATATCTAAAATGCCTTGTGAGGCAATCCTAGCTAGATTTTTTTTTTAAGATTTATTTATTTACTTGAGAGAAAGAGCGGTGGGGGGGGACAGAGGGAGAGAATATCCAAGCAGACTCCTGCTGAGTGCAGAGCCTGATGTGGGTCTCCCTTGATCCCGTGACCATGAGATCAGGACCTGAGCTGAAATGAAGTGTTGGGCACTTAACTAACTGAGCCACCCAGGCACCCCTAGATATTTCTCTTTCTTTCTTTTTTTTTTTTTTAGATATTTCTTTTCTATGTTACTACATCAGTCATATTTTCCTGGTTGCTGATAAGTGAATCATAATGCGTAGCATCTCACATATCATATTTTGGTAAGCAGGGTAGACAAACACATTTCTTATCACCCTCTTAAACACATATAAACACCTGTTGACTTCAACTGTTCACAGTTCCTATATTAACTAAATAGTCTATCTGATGTGCCCATCAATTCTAGGTCTACATTAAGATTAAATGAGGCAGGCGCCTGGGTAGCTCAGTTGGTTGAGCGACTACCTTCAACTCAGGTCACAATCCTGGAGTCCCGGGATCGAGTCCCACACTGGGCTCCCTGCTGGGCAGGGGGGGATCGGCTTGTCCCGGTGACCTTCCCCCTCTCATGCTTGCTCTCTCTCAACAACAACAAAAGATTAAGTGAGGCAAGAATCTAACCTGTTAATGATTGACAGAGAGATTTTGGTCTTTCAATTTCCCTCTGGAAAACTTGGATGAAAATGAGGCAAACGGAAAGAAAAGGGTCTCTCCCCATGACTCAACCACCCTGTGCAATGTATTCATTTTTCACTGTTCATTTTTTACTGTGATACATATCCAGGCAAAATGGCTTTGTATTATCCCCAGGTTATTAGAAGAGTCTGATTGCCTGGAGTTAATGCCTTGGATCTAAGTAGTGTATATATACAATATAATTTTTTTCCAACCAAGGAGGAAGTTGAGTTTCTCTGTGAAGAGCATCTTCTTTTGTTGGCTGGTTGGCTGGATGGTTGTTTCTGCTTTTGTTTTTATTTTTTAATTTAAGGATCTGGAAATGCTCCTGGGGACACATGCTGTCCCTTCCAATCTCGCAGGTGATGGTTCCGAGTGCTCTGCTGGCACAGTGCACCCCAGGGCTCCATGCTGGGCAGCACAAGGTGGGGCTGGGCAGGACTAGTGCTGGATGAAGAGCATCTCTGCGGAGTCAATTCCCTGCTTTAGAGCACCTCCCATAGTTTCGGCCCATTAACCCAAGCACAACAGCTTGATGAATTAATGCTTATATAGGCACAGTTGGCAGCTTCTAATTAAATAATTATGATTAAACATCTGCACAGAAGCTGTTATGCACCCTAGAAAGCCAGCTGTCACTTTTATTGGTCCTAAGACAGAGGAAGAGTTAATACTTAGCTCTGAATGTTATATACAAAGGGAAGTATGTCACATAGAATATACACGCTGTGCAATATGAAGTTGCATTGTGTTTGTGCTAGCCTGTCCATGAGTGATGGAGAGCAAAGGGTTCCTCAGCAACCTCTCAGCAACCCAACAAAGAAGGAAGCAATTATATGATCAGCAGAGCAGAACCTGTTCAGAGCAATATAAAGAGGACATAGCGTTAGACGGATGAGTCTTTGATGAACACACAAATGTCATTGAGCTAGCAGGCAAATATATTTCAGGTTCGGGGTCTCATTTAGATGCGCAAGTGACAGAAATCTAATGTGGTCCTTTTGGGGGGCAGGGGTTATGGTTGGTATGTTTTGATTTACTTGCCCAAAGCTTCTTAAGCTATTTTCAAATATTAAAAATTGGAGAACAAGGTAAAGATCACAAACCTAGATCTGAACTCTCTAAGATGCAGTTTTCCAAAAAGTTAGGAACAGATATTTGTTCTGTAGAATTACAGATAACGTCAGATTCCTTCATAGAAGGCTAAAAAGCTGAAGTCTTATCTCCCACACCCAAGAAAGCCAGCAGAATCCGGTGACTAAGCTCCAGCATCAAGGAAGATGCAGATTATAGATAAAGGCCATTGATAGGGTTGCTGGATCAAATAATGCTTGTTATTACACAACAAGACGTTCCTGAACTGATAGTTGACTTCATTTTTCTCCATAGGCTGTCCTTTCCACACAATCTATGTGTCCCCACTTCTAAAAATCTAAGGGGTGATAACCCAGCACAGAACAACCCAGCTTGCCACCGGCCTCTTTAACACGGATCCCAGCAGCATCTCCACATGAAGAAACACAACCGTCGGCGAAAATCAGTCCCTAAAAAAATCTTAGACATTTTAATCCCCCAAATTTATGGATTTGCCTTAAAATAAGAAGAGAGGAAATTGAATGCTAACATGGAAACATTTCTGATGCAATTCACTTTACCCAATTCCCGGGCCCTATTGAAAATCCACTGTTAAACCAAGCATGAAACTTTACAGACTGATTTACTGTTCTCCCTTCAGAGATCAATGGCTTATAGTTTATTTAGAGTGACGCCATTTCATAAAACAAACCAATCTGTAGCCTAAGTCGTCATTTAAGCCAATGGACTGACCTCTAAGGAACGCTTACTTAAAATGCTCCAGAACAATTGTTTCCACTCCTTTTTTCCCCTCTGGTTTCCTTTTATGTCAGTAATTCTATCACCTCAGGTGTCTGAAGATCTCTGCTTGTGATTGACAGTTCTGAAAGATCTAGTTCCTTTTGGATGGGTCTTAGATGAAGTTCAGTTTAATTAAGTCTGCGGTGCAACTCAAGTCTCAGTACAAAATGCTAAAGAACCAAACAGCAGATTTGTAAAGCCTTTAAAGGCAAATTTCAGATGCAGTGGGGCAGCCCGGGGGTCTTTTGTCAGCCTATACTGCCATCTATCTAGCCGAGACCACGTCATTCTGTGCAAGCCATTTGTGTTCTCACCGCAAGTCTCCAGCAAACAGCTTTACAGATCCCGAAGTTCACAGTAAAGAATGGACAGCACCGCCTCATCCACTCTGAGTCTGCCAGCCTCCCATGGACCAGCAGGCAAATTCCAACCATCATCTTCTCCTCACAGTTCGCTATCTGACAAACAGACATGCATGTCTACCTCCAATCCCCATATTACCTAAACCAATATCAATTGCATAGGCCTTTGAATATTCTCTGATGTCACTGATAAAACAGATAAAAGTTACCTTAGATAAGATGTGTGACCTGAATTAGAACCTCTAATACTCTAGCTATTAAACTCCTATACTCAGGAGTTTAAAAAAAAAAATCCCAAATAGTATTCCTTAGATACTGACTGAACATCTGTAAAGAGAATTGATACAGATGAAACATCAAAAGAACCCTTTGTACTTACGGTAGAAGACATATTCAGTGTAGCTTGACCAGATCTTGTCATCTGTATACTGGTTGACAAAAGATGCTGTCACTGAGGAGTTACAGGCCACCATGTGGAATCCACACTCTGATAACATATCAAAAGCCCTTTCCAGATGCTTGAATTTGAGATAAAATCTGGAGGTGTATCTTTCTGGGGCTCGGTCAGGGTCTCTGCTCTCATTCAAAGTTTCTCCAAAGACCTCTTTTGCCAAGGAAATCCTTCCACAAACCAAAATCCGGGGAACTCTCCGAAACTTGGCATCTGCCTGCCCCTCTCTGCCCATGGTGCAGGACCCCCTGTAGCCCACAGTAATGAAGCCCCATTTGCGGTCCACAGGGAGCACTGAGGAAGGAGGGCAGATTCTCGTGTCGCTTCCTTGGGAGGCATCTTCGAAGTCACTGTGGCAAAATTCATCTGGGCTTTGCTTGATGTCATCAGGGGTCAGGAGTTTGACCAAGTCTGGGAGCTGGAAGTACTCAGCTTCCCTTTTCAGTCTTCCTCTTTCTGGAAAGTGATCAGGCAGGACCACCTGCCTGTCCCTGAGATAGTCCAGAATATAACGGAACAAGAATCCATCTCTGTCGATGAAAAACCTTCCTTTGGAGTCCTTGGCTAGATCGTTAGCCGTGTCTCTCTTTGGGGAAAACATTTTCCACAGGAGGGAATGAGGGATGCTTATTAATGTGGAATGGCGGGTGAAATAAACTTGACCCCCGACATTCAGCTCCATGACCTCAGGGAAGGAGTTGGGAACTGCAGCCCCCTGTTCTCGAGGATAATAACGACTACAGTTTCCACTCAAAGCCATTGTCCCTTTCTTCTTGCTCTTCTCCTATTTTGATTTGAAGGTGCAATCCAGTGGAGTCACAGCCTTATCCTTTGCATCAACTTGCCAAACAGGGAGAAGGAAGCTAACTTGTTAAAAACGACCTTCTCTTACCCCAGTTTTTTTCCCCAAGAAGGCAAAATTCAGAAGAGTCCACAGGTGAAGTGATGCTGCAAAAGTAGTTTCAACCCTGGCTGGTGGTGAGCTATTACTTCACAGAATGTAATCAACTCATCTCCATCCGATCTGTCCCAAGCTCGGTAGGCAAGGCAGGCCAAGTCCCCAGTTACTCCGAGGTCTGTCTGAGGGAAAAGAGAGAAAATTATTTCCTCAAACCCAGCATGAGTCAGAAAAAGAGACACCACTGGAGAGAGGAGAGGGAGGGAGAGGGAGGGAGAGGGAGGGAGGGAGGGAGGGAGGGAAGTAGGGAGGGAGGGAGGGAGAGATTATTTTACATAAGCAGCCTAGGAACTACTGATTTCAGCCATTCTTCAACTAAATTGTAGCTTCTCTCAAGCTATTTTGTGTCTACATGTTTATCCATACGCCTGTCTCCAGCAATTAGTATTAAAAATATTTCTACTGGTATTTCTGCTTTAAGAAGGAATATAAGATTTTCAACTTTTAAAAGGGGATTTTCTTTTTTTTCCTCCAAGCTGGTCTGGTAAAGCAATAAGTCACAGAACTTACCTTAGTGAGTGCTGGAAACCCAGCTCCTGTGAAGAGATACCATTTGCAAAGCAAGCAGAATCCACAGCCAGAGTCTGGAGCTTGTCAAATCCCAAAGAGTTAAAGGACAGAGGTATCAATGAAAAGTGCCAGAGAGATGTGCTCTTAGAAAATAATTATATATATATATATATATATATATATATATATATATGTATTTATATAAATGTATATTTGTATGTATGTATATAGGTATGTATTCACTCCCAGTCTCAAGTTGAAACAAGTCACAAAAAAAGTTAAAGCCTGATGAGAGGTGGTTGGGTCGAAGAAGCAAGGCAGAGAAAAATACCCAACCAAAGCTTCTCCAGTAAAAAGGGGAAGGGAAAAAAAAAAATCAAACCTTTAGAAAGAATCCTTAAAACAGAAGAGAGTTGGAAGAGGTACTGGGACTTAGAAGCTTTTCGGAAAGCCCAGCAGCAGGAAGAAAGACAGATGTGCCCTGCTGGGGTCCCAGGTAGCCACCCCACCTGCCGGCAAGGGCAGACGGACTCCCATGTTCGCAGGCCGGCGGGAGCCGCTAGGAGCCCGGCCGCCGCAGCGCAGAGGGGCCGCGGGGGGGTTCGGGCTCGGGCTTCTCCGGCGGCCGGCGGAGCTGGGTGGTTCCACAGTTCCCAGCGCAGTTCGGGGGCTGTTGTTTCAGCGGCGCAGGCAAGATACCATCCAGGGAAATGACTATTACATCATCTTAAAGGAATACGGCTTGGAGAAAGCGGAGGCAGCTCCGAGTCACGGCGTCCTCGGTGACAGGTCGCCAGGACTGCACGGGGACGCCGCGCACCGGCCGTGACACGCGACTCCCCTGCCCCCGGCTCTGGGCGGGGACGCGGCGCCGCGCAGCCACTTCCCTCAGCGTCCTGCCCGCGAGGCTGTAGTTTGCCACGGCCTTCTCGTCGCCTCTTCTTCCTGCTTTTTACACCTCCGCCGCCGCCAGCATTCCCCAGAAATAACCCCCCACCCCGGCGGTGACAGGAACACAAGGGATTTTTCATTGGAAAAATGTACAAACAAACCCTTGGCACAGGCACTGAATTTCAGCTGAAGGGCAAATTTCCCGTCCACATTGGCTTATTTAAAAAAGGAAAAGAAGAAAGCACACCGAAGGACCCCAGTGTTCAAGCTACAAAGTGGCTCTTTCTTACAAGCAAAGGGCATTAAACCGTGTTCTCCTTCAGATGCCCTCTTCCCCGCCCCCTTCTTCTCCATCCCTGTGCCACCCCACCCCCAGCAAATGAATAAATAAATACAGTCTCTCTGGAATGAATGATATTCTTTCCAAAGAATACATGAGGTACTGGTACCCGCAGAAAGCCCACAGCTGACATCAGCAAGTCATTATCTCAGCTTACCTGCAAGAAATTGTTACCTGCAACCTTTTTCTGGGGCTGTGTGTCTTTACTGAGCCTCTCTTTGGACATGCCCCAGCCCCCTCCCACCTCATCCTAAGAGGACTCTGGTGGAAGACACACCCGGCAAAGAGACATTTTACTCCTATCCCAGAGGGCTTCCTTAAGTGCATCATTAGAGTTTCAGGAAGGCATTTCCAGGGCAACCTAATCCACTAACAAAGTGCTTCCAGTTGATCCTGCCAGTCAATAATGGCCCAGCCAACAGCTTACAGTAAGTCGACCATTTCTCCTTTAAAATGCCAGTGTCTTAGGACTCACCCTCCTAATCAGAATATAGCATAGCATCTATGAATAATACATGGGAGGCACACTCCATCCCAAATAACTTCTATTTTTTTTAAAAAGCGAAAGCCAAAAACGGAGATGAAAGTATGAATTAGATACATTTTAAGGGATCATGTGTTTATTGCCAACTCTTGCCCCAAGAATTAGATTAAAGATAGACTCGGCAGCAGGATAAATTAATTTTTAGTTTAACAGTCTTTTCTTTCAATAAGTATCAGGTTACTGAACACATATGGAATATTAGCTAACACTCCAACACCTGATTATATTTGACTTTGTTTCTTTAACTAATGTATTAACCTGTTATGGCCTTAATCATTGGGATTTTCAAACTGGACCAATCAAGGGAATATTTATTATTTGGTGCACTTATATTGCCATCTAGTGTCTATATGCTATCAGTGCAGATCTGTAACTGACCACTTACCCTGGCCAAAAGTTAGATATTTCCTGCTTTAAAAGTTTGTTGTTGTTGTTGTTTTAAGATTTTATTTATTTATTTGACAGACAGAGATCACAAGCAGGCAGAGAGGCAGGCAGAGAGACAGAGAAAAGGAAGTAGGCTCCCCGCCAAGCAGAGAGCCCGAGCAGGGTCCTCCATCCCAAGACCCTGAGATCATGATCCAAACTGAAGGCAGAGGCTTAATCCACTGAGCCACCCAGGCGTCCCTGCTTTAAAAGTTTTTATGTTGGTTTAAGTATGACCAGACACACACTGTTCACCATGATGACAAAATAAATATTTAGTTGCCACAAAACAAAGGAAAAAAATGGAGATCTGAGTCCATGCCTAGTAAGTACTGGGCTTAGCTGTAGTTAGAAATAAGCAAACATTTCATTTTATTTTTAACAGAATGGGCCAGTAAACCATAACAATAACTTTGGAGGTTGGGTATTAAAATATTCTGGGGACAGGGGAGCCTGGGTGACTCATTCAGTTAAGCATATGACTCTTGATCCCAGCTCAAGTCTTGATCTCAGGGTCATGAGATCTCCACACAGGGCATGGAGCCTCTACTTAAAATAAATTTTAAATATATATATATATTTTTTTTTAATTTATTTATTCTGGGGACAGTTTGTCAGGAAAGTGAGGATTGGGAATAAGAAAATAAGAATAAGAAAAACCAAAGGAACTTGAGAAAATGGAAATTACCATCTCATCTTAGATATATATAAACTGAGGACCAGAGAGGGAAAGAAATTCCACAAGGTCACACAGCTGTGGAGTAGCAAGACGGGGTTTAGATCACTGCCTACTCATTATGATCAATTTTTTGAACTGCTTATATTCTAGAATAGGAATGGCGAGGAGGCAAATAAAAAAAAAATTCAAACTACGCATTTGAAGAAAACCCAGCAATTCATTTTAAAGAGTTTTCAATATTAAGTTAAATTCAAGTCTAGAAGATTTTATAATTTAATTGAAAGGATTCTGAATTTCGAAAATGAGGAGTTCTATCTCTTTATTGGTCGGGGTTTCAAAGGTTAGGCTACCTTTTTTTTTTTTTTTTAAGATTTTTTTATTTTTTTTATAGAGAGAAAGAGAGCTTTCCTGCATGAAGGAGAGTTGGGGAAGGGCACAGGGAGAGAATCTTCAAGCAGACTCCCCACTGAGCCACTGAACCTGGAGCCTAGAGCCCAAGGTAGGAGCCCCATCTCAAGACCCTGAGATCATGATCTTGCTTAAATCAAGAGTCAGGTGCTTAACCTACTGAGTCACTCAGGCACCCCATGTGCGTATTTACCTTTTAATCTACCCAGAGCCTCCGAAATCAAGACTGCATGGGCCTCTATCTCACCTTTTGAGAAGTCAGGGGTTTGGTTGCAGATTGGCTCGAAGCCTTTTCAAGCTGGGGTCTACCGGCCTGGGTAACCATCCTCTGATGCATACATTTTCTTGTTCCTTTAGTCTAGGGGATGCAAACAAATGAGAAGTGAGATTAAAGAGGCAACAGGCTCAAAGGAAACAAAGCAATCCACCATAGAGAGAGATTTAAATAGTGCTAGAGTAAGCGCATGTGTCTCAGGGAGGTTGTCAGTAAGCCCAGCTGCTTGGTACCTTAACAAGAGGCAAGAAGCCAGTTCTAGGCTGTAAGCGTATTCCTGTCCTCCGTGTCAGCAGATAACACAGCTAGTGTTATTCTTCTGTTCTGGCGGCTCTCCGCTGAAACATTGTGGCATCTTCCACTCGGCCCAAAGGCTGAACATAGAGCAACAGATTTCTCTTAGGGGAAGAGAAAGGGAGAATGTTTCATCCGTAATAGTCGAGACTATAGCACATTTGGATACACCATGGGTAGATTATGGAGTTGATAAAATGTGTCTTAGCCTCTGTTTCCTGTTCCCTACTTGCACACACCCCCATAGCTGAATGCTGAAGAGTATATTCTCAAAAGGACAATTATAAATTTGGAATAATGTGTTCACTTTGCACATCCTTACCTCCTAACACATCCTTACGTTTCCTCCCCCCTGGAGCAGAGATAGCTTTTATGCTGACTGTCTTTGTTATCAGGGAGGGAATGATCTCATAAATGTAGACTAAAATGCCATACATTCATTGGGTCGCATGCCCCAAGGTCTCCTGCATCATCACTGTCATCCTAACACAGGTACTGTTTGTGGAGGGCCAGCCCTCAAGAACTCACAACAATCACCATCCCTCTTCCAACTCTGCCTGATGGCTGTGTGACATGAGAGGAGGGGCTCAACGTCTCTGAGCCAGGGTCAAATGAAGATAACAGGAAGACCTGCCTCCCAGGCGTGTTGTGCAGATTCAATACCATGATGCATGTAAGATCCTGAGCATGTTGTCTGGCCCTAGGTATGTGCTTGCAAAATGCCAGCAGTCTCCATGACGGCTATGGAAGTAACTGCGTTTGTCATTGGTAGACTGAAGAGGAGGCATAAAGAAGTTACAGAAGATGCCCAAAGACTGAAATGCAGTTCTACTTCCAAAATCTTCACTCTCCTCACTCTGCAGGTGTAGGTGAAGATCATTGCTTGTTATAAGCATATGTATTAATAATGTGAGGATTTCAAGATTTGCTGGTGGAGATGAGGTGGCAGAATGGGAACTGAAAATAGCACCACAGTGGTTAGAAAAGAAAATGCCACTGTCTTTCGTCCTACAAGGTTCCCTTCTCGGGACCCTTTCATTCACGCCACATGGATTTATTGAGTGCCTCTGTGTGTCCAGCACAGTTCCAAGTACTTAAGCTACAAAGCTGAATTCGATACAGTCTCTGAACACAAACACATACAAACACACACACACACAAAATCGTCCCCATGGAAGGCAAAGATGAAAAAGTTATAGATTCGTGAGCGGACAGGTGCCTGCAGCTGTTTTCAGCTTTGGGTCCTACACAGTCCACGTATGTTTTGAACAGA